ATAACACGCTTGTTTGGTCTCATCAAATAATGATATTTTGTTCAACAAGTGTTGCAAACAACGTTGGTAATGCAAACAAAAGAAATTAATTACGAAAAACGTTTTAATACTTGTCCTCTTCAATGCAAATATAGTTACGCAATGTATAATGTAATATACAATAAAATACCACATGACATAAAAAAAAACTCCCATTTGACATGTTTCTCATATCATTACGAAAATGGTTACTGGATAAAGCTTTCTATTCAATTGACGAATATTTAAATTATAAATGATATTCCTAATATTATTCTTATTAAATGAATTGATGCATGTATTGGTGTTGGTATTAGTTTTATTATCCTATTGAATATTAATGTATACAATTTGTTTTTTTTTGTCTTATTACGGATTAATAATGAAATTGTATTTTTATTTTGTTATTGTTTTACTTACAAATATAAATGGAAACATTCCTTTTGCATGCTATATCATATGGCTGAATAGGCTTAAAGCTACCTTTATATTTCTGTTAACATGAACATATCAATGTACCCACCCTATTTAATGGCAAATAAAGAATTTGAATTTGCTTAAGTCACCCTAACTTGTTGGCACGAGCTGTAAACTTTACACGATTGCATCAAAAATTACACATTATCATTTTTACTCAAGGAATCACTTGATATTTACAAACTAATGCACACTGTATGCACAGAAGACATTTTTGCCGGCACTTCAATAGCTATTCGTGATTGTCATTTATAAAATTGACATCAATCTGTCCCTTTTGTTCCTTATAAAGCAAGATAAGGACAGACTGTTGTCAAGTTTACAAATATCGTATATATAATCTGTCATTGGGGTCAATTGCCTAACCTAACCTTGATTTAATTTTGTTATTTCTGACCCCCGAAGGGTTTCAAATACCTTACGCTCATTTTCTTTAATATTTTTATTACGAATGAAAAAGAAAAAAAAAACGAGCAAGAGGCATTACAAAACCTTCAGCTGTCAGAAATAAAAAATAAATCGTAGGCGATAGCGTTAGCCATAGCAATTCCATAAGGTGTATCATGCTTTATAAGAAATGAAAGTAACAGATTGATGTCAATTTTACAAATAACTAATACGAATAGCCAAGCGAAGAGCCGGCATTAGATCCCATTTAATCACCAAATACATACCACCTAGTATTTATCTAAAACTCTGTTTTCAATGTAATGAAGAATTGCAGGAAGGCATCAGGTACATTATATTCGATTCAAATTTCATAGTTTACACCAAAATTTTATTTACAAACACAGTTTTCTTCGTGTCATTAGACCAGCGTCTTTCACGTCATAATAAACAAGTAAAAAAAAGCCAAAAGTCTATTTGATCAGCGAACGTTGAATTATTTCAATGTTTAAATTCAAAATAATACATAATACCGATTTCATATTTCACAAATCCGCTTTGCTTACAAATTATATTTAAAAATAAAGAAACTAACATATATTATCATCTTCGTACATAAATAACTTGAAAGTGAAGTCTATAAACCACTTACTTAACTAAGAGTTAAAATATTTAACCTCATGAGTACATCATTATTATACATTGACGATATATTGAATTGTATATTAAACTAACTTCGATTATTGGAAATGAAGAAATGAAGAACTGTGTGAAACATGCCAGATTTTTTTGTTATATGTTGAATGCAGTCCTGATAATAAATTGACCAAAGTGGATGAGCCCTGCAGATCTCCTTGTCTCTAGCGTTGCATCCCGATTAACTTTTGCTGATGAGTATTATTTAAAAAAATATAGAATTTAAAGTCGATTGACATCTATTGAGTATGGCCACAAAAGATATGAATAAACTTTTAAAGGAGATTGCTCAGCTTCCATACATGTTTGGCCTAAAGACCAATAATCATAAAAAATTGTTTCTTAGATTCGAAATTATATATAAATTATTGTAGAAACGAATATTATTGACAGACACCCCTGAGAACTTCTATAAACCATATACACTGAATGTTTTTGAGGTTATGTTTGCAAATAGGTACTTAAGTATTAAAATAATAAAAAACAAATAAGTTATATAGTAAACTAGGGAAATCAAACCAAGTACCGAAATTATGTATTAGATTCAGGTATATAAAGCATGTAGATTAATAGATAGTTGCCTGTTTTTAAAGTTAAAGCATAAGAGTAACTTTTAAAATCAGGTATCATCTATGCATTTCCGGTTATATTAAGGTACTCTGTGATAGAAACTGTGTGTTATTTGTGAATGAGCCACAGATTAGAGAGAATTTTGAAACTCTCGTTAACTAAAGAAACCTTTTTATTTTTGTTATGTTTATATTATAATCATATTTTAGATTTTCTGTGTATCACACCTTATAATGTGTTTATGGAGGTGTTTGGCAATAAATGTATGGCAATAGACTTTATGATGTCGCCTACAATCTATAATATTTGCACATTTGCATGTAGTAAAAATGATAATATACTTGTGGATATTAATACCACAGTGTAAGAAAAAAAAATATTTATTTTATCGATCTTTACAAAATCGATTTGTTTTGATGTTATATTTAAACAACTTCGATCAGTCTTTGGCTGAATGTTACTACACCTATAGCCATTAAAAATGATTCGTATGTTTTCCAAAACCGGTAAAATTAAAAGTCCTTTTTAAAATGAATATATTAAACAAAGGTGTCCGTTAAAATCTAATGACTGTAAAATAAAGTATAAATTACGCCAAGAATTACCGTATATGTCAATATTTTTTGTACATTTGGGCAAATTTGAGCAATCTCCTTTGATTATTAAAGTAAACGACGTAATTTTTTTATAGCAATAGAAAAAATCTTTAAACTTATTTCACGTCTCTAAGTACAAAATAAAAAAAAAATCAATAACGTTTGTTTGTACCAGTACACAAATTAAAGCTTTTAATTTTTGATACAAAGCAAACTTAAATAATTGTAAGCTAATTCATAATTAACACTGCCGAAGTGGTAGAGAAAAGAAGCCATTACTAAAATCAATGTGGATACATAGCAGTATGACGTATCCAGAATCTATACATATAATAAAATGTTAGGAAAGTCAAAACTGTACTTTATTTTTTTTTTAAAGAAGAATACTTGGGGTGTGATCTACAATTGATACCGAAGCCAAAAATATAGTTTTTAGAATTTTTGTCCGTTTGTCTGTATGTATGTCCGGGCTAAACTCAAAAAGTGCTGCATGGATTTACTTCAAATTTGGCAAGAATATTATTAAGAAGTCGGGTCAACATATAGACTACATATTATCACGCTATCACCTACGGGGAACGAGCAGTGAACCTTTCTTTCTAAGTAAATGCACGCGTACGATTTCGCGGGCGGCCGCTAGTATCACATACACTGGCATTTGTCCAACTTAAAAACAGTAATTCTTCCATTAAAACAACAAAAGTTGCCGGCTCACTGAATAACATAAAATTTTTCACCAATAAAAAAACATAAAATCACGGCAGTATATCTGTCATTTTGTTCGCCTGTGTGAGTACAATTGGATTGAAAAAATATTTCATTACACACACTGTAACAATTCATACATAAATTATGGTATTCTACTAAATGAAAGACAACGGTAGTGACATACGGACAAACATTAATTATGGAACAGAACGCAGATATAATAGTCGGGGTCGTAAGTTTTCAGGTGGTATTCGCAGTATTTGAATGTAAATAAATAAATCTATTTTCTTGACCGAAATGAACTTAATAGTTCTCTCAAATAGTTCTTTTCTCAAAGAGTAAGTTTTTTTTATAGCAAGGTAGGCAAATGACTCTACCCCACCTGATGTCAATTGGTGATAGAGGGTAAATTCCGTAATATGAACCAGTATACTGGCCAGTGCTAATGACGTCATGAATCGACGCTATACTGGTGAATTGTTCCGAAATATACAGGTCAGTGCACTGACGTCATAAATCGACGAAATATTAAAAATAGTGCGAATAAAGAAGATTTTTTTATTCACCTCATCAATTAAAAGGAATTCTCTTTGTTCGGATGCCATTATTGTTCTTTAAATAAAAAAGAAATAAAATTCGAATGCATCTCACGCATGCTCGGTCATACGTCATTAATTTTCCCTGTATAAATATGGTAGCATACCAGTACAATATGGCGTCGGATTCGTGACGTCATTACCACTGGCCAGTATACTGATGTGTATTTCGGAATACACCCAGAGTCAAAACACGAATATCGCTGGTGCAGCAGTTATAACCTACCACACCAACCTCCTCACCTTGCCGGCCTGCAATAATGCTTCTTCACGCCTCTCTTAAAGGACCCCTGATATATACACCGTATACTACGGGAATATATCTCTAAAGTAAATAACTAATGCACTTGATTTATGGACAAGTTTCAAAGTAACATATTTCTTATTTAAATCCATAGGAGAAGGAATAATTTCTAAATCTTTCATCAACATGAATCTAAAGTAACTTCGGTAAATTAAACCGGCTGCGAATACCACAAGCTATGTTTGACGATATTGAATATTATGTTTTATACTTAATCAGTTTGTTATTAATGCGTTCTATTCAGTTCAGAACCAAAAATGATACATTAACGGAGGAAAATTATTTTTATTTTAGATTTGGTGTGTGTGAATGTTCGAATCAGAAACTGTAAAAAAAGTGCCTTTGAGAGCTATTAGTTTAAAATAATAATAATAGGTTCGAAAACACAATACGTACGACTTACCAAGTCGCTTTTGAACCGTGAAGTTTCTTTGATATTTTTTTTTGTCTTATATTCCTGATCTAGTCATCCACATACATTGATCTAAAATAAATCACACACATACAGAAAAATAAATCATTCATATAACAATATACAGTGTTATTAAAAACTGGCGTGCGACACAGTCGTTTGGAGACATCGGAGTACATCTGTCTTGTGCGACAACTATAAGTAATGCTATTGGTTAATTTATTCACGAAGTCCGTCTATTTCTTTGAATTGGATCCTTTGGGCTGACGATTCTCTTGAAGGGGAATCTGAAAATCAACGGTTTTATTATATAGCAATTTATAGTAGACAATCCTTCAGAAACAAGATCACATTTGACAATGCGCACGTCACAAACAAAAGGGTATTATCTAAAGAAAATATAACTAAAAAAAAATCCACGCGGACCAGGCAGCAGACGGGTCTCGAATCCGCACCCTTCGCAATCCGGGCGAATGCACTGACCAATTATGCTACCGCGGCCCTCACGGACCGCGTCGAAATTCTTCTAGCCATTCTTAAGCTGCAAGGCAACGCCATCTCTTCTCATTATAGGTAACCCACAATGTCAAATGAATACTTTTACAAGTATTAAACATTTGAAAGAAGAAATAGCTAATTGCTATTTCTTTTTTGTAGTTATAATTTTTATTATTTTTAAAGCACGTAACTGCTTGATGTTTATATTTAAACATACATGCTACAAAAATAATAAAAGTTATAAATTAAAAGGGTACTTCAAAAACAGTGTTTTAAGATATCGCGTTTAGAAATTTTAAAAAATCATAGAAAATCATAGAACTTGTTCAAATGTTTAAAATGATACCTTGATTTAATCGAACATTATCCTTCTTTGTGTTGAGTTAGTTTAGTTAGTGTATCAATAGTAGCTTTTATTTTAAAAGTACTTTTAAGTGACTGGGTAAAGAGAATACCCTATAAGCAGTTCAAATGGCTCAAATATTTCATGTTAAAATAAAACGCGTATCATTTTAAAATAAATTCGCTGAAAGTAACATATTAAATTAAATTAAACAGGTCAGAGGGTATTATTTTAAATAAAACTTCAAACTTGTGTTAATCCGAACGGGCAATAGGGTATTAAATTAATACTGTTTATAATACTCACAATCATAGATTTTGCCTAGAAATTGACGACATGTGCTGCTATAATACAAAAACTATTTCGAATTAAAATACAATTATCTTACCAGTTTATAGAGAAAAAAAATGTAGTTTTCGAAACGCAAATAAAAAAATAAATGGTTTTGCGGACTTAATACCCAATTGTTTGTGACGTGCGAATAGTCTTATTGACAGTATGAAAATTAAAACACCAATTGTTGGCATCTGTATTTAATATGAATATTAGCAGCGATTTTACTTTTCATAAAAAAGAAATAATTAATAACTTTTTTTTATAAAATCAATAAATAGAAATGATTTTTTGCTCAATGCGTCTGGAATTAGCCAAGACTAAAATGACGTCAGACGCTAGTAAAGTTCCGGCCAAAGTGACAATACATTGTATAGTTTGACTTTTTAATGAGTCGTATGACGTTACACACTAGTGAAACGCCATAATGTCCAGAGAAACATTTTCACTGCAACTTGAAAATTGAATTTGGTTTTTTTACTGAATTATAACAACAGTATTAAAAATATCCATTTTTTATGGACTCCATAAACATTAGTAAATAACGTGAGATCGTTTTCTAAAACTTATTAAGAGCCCTTTCACATTTTTTGCAAATTCATAACCTTAATTTTTGAGCGCCTCGAGAAGCAAACAGTAGATTTATTCTTCCTATTGTAAGTTAATGTAGAATATTTGCAAATACTATTTACCTTTTTTTGGACTGATCGTTCTTCTGCAGCTAGTTTACGGTAAATACGATAAAATGCACAACCTCAAACGCCTCAATCTCTCAATAATGTTCAATAAATTAGATCAAAATAAAAACTACGCATCAGAAATATGTTTTTGTTGTAACACAATGTATCAGAATTTTGATTTTCCATCTCATTAATTATCAAAAAAGAACATCTAACCTCCGTGAGTTTTCCCAAAAAATAATGCAGGTTTACCCCGTATTTTGATATTTGAATTAAATAGAATTACTATAAAAAACTTTCATAAAATTAATCTACCATCATTAAACTACGGAAATATGTATATATTTTTATTATTAGTTCATTAATAATTAATTTATAATACTCGAAACATCACCCGTAGAATTCTATATATACTAGTGCAAATCTATCTACGCGCCGATCAGGGGGCCATTCGCCTAACGGAAATGCTTTAGAAAACGCTAACGCTTTCGATTTTATTTTGTTATTTCTGACCGCTAAAGGTTTTCAAATACCTAACGCTCATTTCTTTTTAATATTGTTATTACCAATGCAAAAGAAAAAAAAGACCGCGAGGCATTTGAAAACCTCAAGCGGCTAGAAATATCAAAATGAAATCGTAAGCGTTAGCGTTTTCCAAAGCATTTCCGTTAGGCGAATGGCCCCCAGTACAGCAGAGGCGCAATTTTGTAAAAGGGCTCTTAAATAGCCTATTAAGACCGTTGGTACATAAGTAATAAAAAAAAAAGCTTGCTGAGTTTCTTGCCGGTTCTTCTCAGTACAAGGTCTCCCGCCGTAGATTTAAGAACCGATGGCGTAGCTTCTAGACATTCATATGTGCTTGTAACAGCCTAAACTGAATAAATGATTTTGATTATGATTATAATGCTTACGGTGGCGCGCTGATCTTCCATGCGGCCGGCTTGAGCACGCATTAGCAACGCGAAGAAGTCGTCATCTGGTACCGTCTTCGGCCTTTCCTCGGGTTTCGGTCGGGGAAGTTCGGACCGTTGATCTTCTAATCGGGAGCCCTGTTCATTTCATTACACATAAAAAAGTTAGTTAAAAATCTTCATTCCAATAAATCAAGTGTGAAACTAAAAAAAGGACATAATTATACATTAATATACGCTTTTCTAGATCTCACTATATACGCAATTCAACAATATCTCATTTACTATTTTCACAAACAAAAATACAGGGAATATCCAAAATAGCCTACAGAAATACCATAATGTATTAAGATATATTCACAGGAGCTTTCGTCAGAGAAAATATATTCCAATGATATTTTTTGTTGCGAATCAAATTTTACTTTAATAACAGTGCACAGAGGCCGCAACGAATAAAAAACATCATGTTTTAATATTGTCCTCAATGAATTCATACATAGAATTTCTATTGTAGTTTCATTCATTATGATTCAGAATTCTATCAAAACATCTAAATTAGCTGATTTTAGATTAATATATTCATCAACCTACATTTATAATGCGTATTGATGTGATCGCGGAATGTTCCATTTTTTAATAATAATTTATTAGACCGAAAAAAATATTTTCCATCACATTGTCCATTAGCTGTGTAGACATTCCACAGCGTTCTCTGTAGATTATGCCAAAACTAGCAAACCAGTGAACCAAATGTTCACCAAAAAAAAAGTATTTAATTAATTGAGAACTTCGGAGATTTTGTGTGGTTTCGTTTAAAATAGAAATCACGTGATTTCTCGAAAACCGGAAGTGCTACGTTACTCACATCCGGTTTGTAGTCTTATCAGACTATTCTCACCTTATAACTTAAACATTTTCTTTATCTATCTCTTACGGTTTGGCCGCTGAAACAGCACCACGGACGGACGGACTTGTCTAATAGATAAAGAGATGCCAACCCTGCCTAAATGTTCAAAAGTGTAATGCCAAATAAACATCTTTTGATTTGATCTAAATGAATTATTAGAAAAAAGTATTATCTTGGTGCAATGTTCGACTCCACCCACTAACTTATCCTACTAATATTATAAATGTGAAAGTTTGATTGTACGTTTGTGTGTTTTCAACCGACTTCAAAAAAAGGAGGAGGTTCTCAATTTGACTGTATTTTTTTGTTCGCATGTTGTTACACAATCACGTAAAACTACTGAAAGGATTTGGATGAAATTTCCATTTCCATGAAAATTCCATTTTTGAGAAACAAATCCAAGCTTGTTCTTAGTTTATCTTCGGGGACAGGTCATAAACTATATCCCCCAGTTTATGACCTGTCCCCGAAGCATGAGCATCACAATTTACATTATATCACGTCTAACTGTCAAAATATATAGTAATTTGACAATTGAGCGCGATAAAAACGCGTTATATCGCGGTGCAATTATTGGACAGACAACGCATTCACTTATAGTAGCTAACTGATTGTGGATATGCAAACAAAATAAAAAAAAAAATCGCGGTGCTCATACTAGGGGGCTTGGCTTAAGACATAGTATAAATTTTGTCTAAAAAAATTTCAGGTTCCTCTGTAATTCCTAAAAAAAACAAAGTTTCAAAAAAATAAAAGTTTCTACGAGCGATTTCGTCAACTAAACCCACTAACTCATGTACACAATGAACAGAGACACAACAGTACCCTTAGTACGAGTATAACAATTACGAAAACTATGATAGTTTTCGTGAGCTCGCACTCGTACTAAGGGTACTGATTTTATTGTTTTTGTTTCAATAGAAATAAACAGTGTTCAAATTCTATCATTAAATCATTTGTGTTTTCTTAAAATTTAAGTATATTTGGTTACTTTTCACCAAAATGGACATAGAAACATAATTTACAATTACGAAAACTATGATAGTTTTCGTGAGCTCAAACTCGTACTAAGGGTACAGGTACCTGTACACGGGCTATCATGTCGAGGAAGTCGTCTTCGGGTCTCGCGGCGCCGGTCTGCTGCGCCCTGAGGCCAGGCAGGGAGGCGCCCTTGCCTTCTTTGGTCAGCTTCTTGGCGCGATTTCCCCCAGACTCCGCCTTCTGCGACTCTATGCTCTCGGGTTGGAGCTCCGTTATCATCGGTTCGTTGGGGCTGCACAATTTCAAAATCATTTATTCAGTCTAGGCTGTTACAAGCACTTGTGAAGGTCAAGAAGTTACGCCATCGGTTCGCAAAACTACGGCGGGAGACCTTGTACTAAGAAGAACCGGCAAGAAACTTAGCAAAGGGCTGTTTTTTTCTCCCTGTATTGTTATATAAAGAGTCGTCAAGTTGAAAAATTACTTCTTAGATACTTCTTAAGTCACCTTCCAATTCATCATTTACTTCGGAAAGTTATATCCGAAAGTTATACACAACTTAATTAGGGTTCGGTACTGAAGGCCTTACTTGCATTCAAAACGTCTCATTAGTACACTGATAAGTTTGCAAAATAACTTGTTTATATAATGTCACGGTTCAAAATTATCTTAGTTTACAGAAACAGTTGCTTTGCAAAACGTCTAGGTCGAGAAATACACAAGTAGGCAATGACTCAATATTGTATAAGGTCTTGATGTATTAAGGACTATGTTAGGTTATCCTGACCATTTACCTATTAAAACATTATGATATTATGTTAAAAGCTAGGGCGTTTTACAGACCAAGACATTTTGCTACACGGATAATAATACAACTAAGATGCTCTGTTCGCCAAGGCTAAATGCAAGTAAGGCCTCCAATACCCAACCCCGTATGCAATATTTTTTGACAATCTACCTGATACACGAAAAAAAGATTTAGTGGCCACCCCAATTGATAATTTGTACACGGCTGTAACGGCTATTGTACAGTTGTATGCCAAAGAACCAGCTATGCCACTTTATTAATTAAAAAAGACGTAAATAAACATGTTATTTTAAGAATATATTTCTGTCCCTAACACAATACTTTGAAGGGATTTTGGTAATGACAGCTCCTTTGAATCGTCCAATAATTTTTCCTACCGAATGGGTATTCGGGACATCTTATAGCTGATGGGACAAATGGGCGCAAGAAACTCATCAGCATTTAACGGAAGTAGCAACATTTACAAAAAAAAAACATTTCGCTACCAATACAACGTCCACTCAAACATTGATAGTACAACATGTTCTATTGAACATGAAAAGTAATAGGGATGATGACTAATTTTTTTTTCTTCGTTTATCAGGTAGATTATCAAAAAGTATTAACAACACGTATTTTTTCTTTTTTCACATCATTTTCATTGCAGAGATATATTGATTTGAAAAGTCGCATGACGAAACGTTAGACGTTGGAGTCCCAAGGTGCTTCGTTCAAAAGCGACCTCGCACCGGGAAGCGCAGTGTCGGTAGACTGGCGACATCAAACGAGTCGGGGAGACTCATTGGATGCGTTAAGTACACGACCGTTGTGTTTGGAAATCTCTAGAGGAGGCCTGGACATCCATCGGCTGATTACGATGATGATGATATTGATGCAGTGATAGATTGTATTATAGACCAAGGGGCTAAAAGAAGACTTGGCACAGACAATAGAGTGAATAAAGAAGCGCAAGGAAATTGCCTACGCAAAATACGTTCACTGGATAAATTGAGAGATTAAGGCTCGTATAACAGAATGACAACTGTGAAAGGGATGTCGCTATGTGATATATATAGCGACATCCCTTTCCAACTATGCTAAAGACTAGATCAATGACTGAGAATCTTTCGATAATACGGGAAATAGAGGTTAGTTTAAATGTTCTAAATATGGGAGATTTGGGGATTGACGAATATTTGTCCGGATCATTTTTATTTACTCATATACTCGTTAATGCTAGAAGGAGGCGCTTATATATATATATATATATTTATATATATATATATACAGGGTGGCCGGGGAGTTGACGTTCAAGCGTAAAATTTAGATACTTTATGATGAGGAGTATCCAAATCCCCATATATGTTCTACGATTTTGCGTAGTTTTTGAGTTATAATTTTTTTAATGATTTTTTTCGTAATTTTCACCTAACATCCGTTTTCGATTTTTTCCTCATTCTGTTGGACGTTTCTGGTTCAGTTTTTTTTGTAATAATTGATTAACATAGTCTTACCTATCACCCTTAAACTTATGGTTTAAATAAAAGAAAATATTTTTTTTTCCTTGAAAAATGCCTTAATTTACTTTGAAGGTCAGTTACAGAAAAAAACCCGCATTAACCCTATCTTTATTTGACCTTGTTTTAAAGTTTAATGTTTCAGGAAGTTTCTAAAAGCACTTTGAACTCAAAATCCCCCCATTTACATTTTTTTTTGATACTTTGATAATTTGTGTGTACTGAGCTCAAATCGTAATTTTGAACTTTCGAACAAGTTCTAACTAAATTCTGCAATGCCTAGATAAACCATAAGTTTTAGGGTGCTAGGTTAGACTATGTTAGTCAGTTATCACAAAAAAACTGAACCAGAAAAGTCCAACAGAATGAGAAAAAAATCGAAAACTGATGTTAGGTGAAAATTACGAAAAAAAATCATTAAAAAAATTATAACTCGAAAACTACGCAAAATCGTAGAATCTAAATTTTACGCTTGAACGTCAACTCCCCGGCCACCCTGTATATAAAAGTTGACAGGCAAAATAGATGGAAAGATGTCTAAAGCTGGAGAAGTTCGATACGTGTTGACCAGCGAAGACATTCACATCACTTGAGATAGATCTAGATGGCAAAATATAGTACACAAGAAAGTTATTCAGAGGTCACCGCGTCCCACGACATTGAGGGTAAACAACGCAACAAGGCAGATACGCATTAACATATAAACGCCTTTCAAAACAACCAAAGTACTTTTTTCTATGTTTATGAGACATACCTATTAGATTGCTCACACGGAAGATAACTACAGAATCATCTGTATGTAAAACAATCCTATTTCCTTTCGTTAGTCTAAAATACGAGAAGGATTATATCTTTTTTAAAGCTTTCTAATACTTAGTAGATGGTTCTTACCACAAATCTTCTTGGTAAGTGCTATTAACGGGGAAAAAATGAAGAAAACAGTGTGATACTAAAGTTGCAAAACAAAGGACCAAATCACTGGAGCAATTGAAAATCAAGACGTTACATTATTCACACAACATTTTACATTCAAGATAACAATTTTATACATACTCATCTTCACTATCAAAGTACGGTGTTCTGTCCATTTGTAACAAGCGTATCAACCTAAGTGCCGACTTGATATTACCATCTTATTGTTTGACTGTATATTTAATTCGACAAACAACTCGCATCTATACTTGCGCAGTGTGTATTGGAAAATATTATTACCTACCACGAGAGCAACTCAGAAGCGTGTTGGAAAACACATATTAAACGATGGGAGACAATACCGATATCGCGATAAGGGACAAGAGGCAGGTAGCAGATAAGCTTATAGGCTCCCGAGTTAGCCACTGTAATCTCGACCTTTAATACGACATGCCACAAGAATAGTTTTTCCGTGAATTAAAAACGCACACGCACTAAAATAGATATGAAACATAACTGAACAATGTTATTTATTCACATAATAAAACATGAAATCGAATATTACATTTTTTGAGAGGCCTTATCACATGACTAAATGTGATGTGTTGATCGATTCTTGTGACTTTTATCTAACAAACAAAGTTTTGCTCTTTTAAGAGGATCGGTCGCTGTTACCTAAGAAGAAGCCTAATTAATATAAAGTTAAGACATTATAAAAAATAGCAAGAACAACTCCCATCATAAACTTACAGCAAGCAAAGAGCGTACTCCTCCCTTAGTGCCTGCGCTGCGTTAAGCGGGAGCATGGAGCGGGCGTCCGTTAAGCGTGTTTGTTTCATGTTATTTCATAGAGGAGCACTGCGTGAGGCAGGTAAGTGCGCTAGCAAATCTCTATGAAATGACATAACAAACTGCAAGCAGAGCAGACGCTTCTTCGTGATCCGCTTAACGCAGCGCAGACTCTTATAGGCCGCCATCGCATTTGTGACAATTCTGATGTTGAAGATGCCTATGAGTGACGGTCTTCGATCACTTAACATCGGGTGAGCCGTCTGCTTGTAGGCCTTGTGCTTACCTATACGTGTACCATCACACACATCTTAATATATATAAATCTCGTGTCACAATGTTTGTCCTCAATGGACTCCTAAACCACTGAACCGATTATAATAAAATTCGCACACCATGTGCAGTTCGATCCAACTTGAGAGATAGGATAGTTTAAATCTCAAATTATAGTCGCAATTTTAATTTATTGCAAATTATTACTTTTGGGCGGTACGAAGTTCGCCGAGTCAGCTAGTATATATATAAAGTAGAACCCGTTTAATATTATGATCCCGCTTAATACGATTTCTCCCAGTTGTCCCTGCAACTTGAGACACGTTTTCAAACAATTTAAAAGCTTAATACGATTCTTCATCCCGTTTAATACGCCTAAATCGCCAACACGTACCACATACATTACCTACCTCTTACGGCAGGGACCAGCGATTGACGCGACCAACGCACGCTAAGCGACCCAGGGTTTTCCTAGACATTCTTCCATTGCTGACAATGTGGCACCGTACGCAATTTAATCTATTAAAGATCTTATTGAGAATGTGAATAACACACAAGAAGAGGCTCTTAGGCCCGTATTATAGAAAGATTCTCAGTAATGAATCTAGTCTTGAGCATAGATAGAAAGGGATGTCGCTATATAGAGCACATAGCGACACCCCTTTCTAACTGTACTTAAGTAAAGATCAACACTTAGTTGTCTTTCTGTAATACTGGCCTTAGTGATAATGATCAAGAAGAAGATGAGTCAACTACGATTTGTCACACGCCCTGGCATTATCAGCAGTTAATGATTTAAGACGCTATGTAACTTCTTTGAATCAACGCGAAGACGCACTGCAAAAGTTAAATTATGTTGAAAATCTTTTAATTGCTAACGCCTCAAAATCGTTTTTGTCAAACTAAAAAAAACGCAGGTTGTTTGTTCCCATTGCTGGCTGACCGTTGCAGTTTCGCCTGCGATTTAGACTTAGGCCTGTTCTCTATATAAGCGTGCAGTTTGGCCACGGTAATATTATCTATACAGTATTGTGACTCCGCCCTGTCCTTGAAATAAATGCCTACGGCCGAGCGCTGAGTTAGCACGCGGTAGGGCCGCCCGCCTACAGTATTTTATGTAGTTTTGTTTTAACGCGAGTGCAGGTAGATTACTCGTTTGTCTCTTTTTTCATCCTAACCACTTATTTATAAATTATTCCAGACATTTTGCCCGATGGAAAAATCGAAATACCTAAATATTAGAAACAAATTACGTACTAGTAGATAGGTATATAAAAAAAATTCTATAAAGGTAAGACACCTTTCCAATATTTCAGGTAATTTAAAAAATGATATCTCTGGGTGTGTTATTGAAGAGTTCAAGCAACCAAAAACAGCAATTGTGCGGTTGTGCGATATTGATTGACACCGTTCGGTCATCGTTGCGGCGCGGCGGCGCATTCGCGACTGGGTGCCCGCCGAGAGCCCTTCGAACTCGAGTGGCGTAGGTATGACTCGCTTTCCGACCATTTGTATGAAGATAGAATACTGTATGATATTATTACCGTGGTTTGGCTGTCTGTTCGTTCATACTCTCCGATTGACTATTACGCTATTTATAAAATATATATAATAAAAAGAACAATGCCAAGTGTCCCTTAATATAAAATTTTCAGGAACAGCAATGTTTTATCGTGTGTAGTTTAATAACTAAAACATTTCCGAAATAGTAAAAATTCTAAACAACTTATTACAAGAAAATACTTAGATAATACAAATATGGAATTTTAAGGTTATTTCAATTTCACGATCACCGTGACGGAGTGGCTTCCACACGGAATTTTCATGATGTCGCCATATCTGGGTACCCAGGTTCGCTCCTCTGTCTCATTAATACAGAAAAATAACGTTTTATATTGTCTCGGCTCTGCGTTTGAGGTACCTAAGTGGGTATCTTTACTAGTTGGTAGACTAATGCTGGTATTTTATATGCGCATTGTGGTAGACCCAAATTAGGGTCGTCTACATTTCGACGATTATTCTAATAATTTTAATGAATGCAAAAAACGACTGATTCTATTAATGTCATTTACTGTTGCTTTATTCTTTTAAGTTATCACAATGCCTATCAACGCCAGTGCGTCGTTTCGGAACTGTATGCCTCTCTTTTTATTGCAATAAATCAGAGAGAAACAAAATGGCAACTCCATTTATTTTTGTTAGATTTCCGGTCAGCTATTTGTTTATTAATAAATCAATTCTATTGGGAAAGTTCCCGAAAAAAAATTAATGTAATTTTAAACTTTCGAATTGTTTATGTTATTTGTTGTACAGTTTGTCTATATAGTCGTGACATGAATGTTTGAGGAACTAACGTTATTCATGTGTCTGGCAACACCAAACTTATGTACATCAGCTGTCATCGAGTTTCAGTTGTGGAACAGTTTTCCTTTTGTATTTTTTATTGTTTGGATTAAACTGTAATAAATTAAGATGAAACTACGCAGAAAGGTATAAAAATGAGTAAAGTAAATCGGAGTGGCACGCGGGAAGTGTTTTTTAAAGTTTTCCAGCGATTTTTCAAAGACTACCAAGCTGGACGAATTTTGTGGGATTTGGATGATGTTTATGGGCGAACAGCATCTATAACGGGTATGTAATCGTGTAACTATTTGTTTGTATTCTGCCTGAAGTTACAAATTTACTCAATTTACGATTTTGAGACCAAAAAAGGCATTGTTTACATTGCACATTTTTAGGTTAGATTGACATTGTAAATAGGTAATATTGTAGTACGACCATTTCTTTTGATACGTTATTATGGCTCGACTCGGTTATGTTTTCTACCAATTTTGAATTAATTGCTTCATATCAAAAAGTTATTGTTTCTATTCCGTTACATATTTTTTTACTTTTTTCTTTCAGGAAAATCAGAGAGTCGGATAGTCAAAGGTTTTAAGAATGATGGAAAGTTTGAAACTCCTGGGAAAACAGGCAAGGCCGACCAAAGAAAGAAATGGTCACATTAAGAACCATGGCCAGATGCTTTTAGTGAAGATACTTATCACTAATTTTACTAACTGCACATTTACAAATTGTTTCTCTAAATAAACTTTTTATATACTATAAAATGATTTTTAGTGTTATTTTCTTAACAAGTGTGTTAAAAAACGTCGTATGATGATACTTGTGTGTATTGATGATTACCTAACGGCTCTGGTCTCAATGGCACCTCAGCGGTAATTACCAACATTACACACTTTTACACTATAAAGTACTATTTTATCTATAATAATTTTATTCTGATTCAATTAAATATGCTTGGCTAAACTTTTTATAAGCATAGGTACCTACTATATATAAAACAGAAACAAAATACGACTGTATAGTGTGTCTTATTAATTACCTATTTTACTTGAATGAACTGCTAGTATCAAAATCATTTTGGTCAGACTGTACAGGGTTGCTACATGCATACTAGTGGCGCCATCATTTAATGTCACGACTTTATAGACAAACTGTATGTAAAAGACACGTGTCCGTGCCATTTTATAATTAAAAGTTTTGTAAGCCAGAATCTGGCATTGTTCTTTCAGCACTCACGCAGGTTGTTTGTTCCCACTGCTGGCTGACAGTTGCAGTTTCGCCTGCTGTTTAGGCTTAAGCTCTACTTAATCTTCGTGAAGTGTAGTTCTATGTTCGTTCATACGTTCCGATTGGCTATTATACAGGGTGTTACAGAATTCCGAAATAAAATTTGTAGGTATGTATTCCGAAATAAAAATTTTTAGGTATCTGAGCGGGGCGCAGGGGCGCCTGGGGGAGAGAGGGGGGTCTGTTTAGGTTGTAGTAATCGTACGCATTTACAGGGTTGTCATAGGCAGGTGTGAAACGATATTTTTATTAATTTAATTAGAAAATAAAAGTGGTCTGAAAGGCGTCAAACTTTCGTAGGTTCTTCGTTTCTTACGTTTATTCTATACAAGGAACACAACCAAACCCTAAAGTTTTATTTCGGACTTTTGTCACACCCTGTATAAACGAGGAACTTGCGAATAAAACGGTATTAAAAATTACGCATCTGGTCAAACTCCTTTTTTTACAGTCCGGAGGTTTCGGGCCTGTTGAATTTGAATCTCGAATAATTTTCAATCAAAACCGCATAAAACAGTGTTAAAATTAGTAAGTGTATAAATTAAAAGCCATGCCAAAAGCTCACTGGAGGTATGTCATTCAGTTTTATACAGCTCCTGTAAAATTTAATTTATGTAATTATACCGTTTTGTTTGCCAGTTTTTTCCTCATATAATAAAAATTTAGGCCTGTTCTTTATATACGCGTGCAGTTTGGCTGTCTGTTCGTTCATACTCTCCGATTGGCTATTACGTTACTTATAAAATCTATATAATAAAAATTTGAGCACTCACGCGGGTTGTTTGTTCCCACTGCTGGCTGACCGTTGCAGTTTCGCCTGCGGTTTGGGTTTAGGCCTGTTCTCTTTGTCTGCGTGTAAAGTCGCCCTCTGTTCGTCCATGCGTTCCGATTGGCATCGGCTGAGCAACTCGAAGAACGACTCCACGGGGTTCTCTTCTGACTCGGTGCGGACAGCGTCGCGTTTCGACTCGGCATCTTGTTCCCCGTCTTTCTTCTTGCTGTCCGGTGTTATCTGTTGACGTTGGTTACGTTTTAAAATCTGATCTTGTTACTTATAGAAGAAGAAAAAGTGCGAGTCGGATTGCGCGCCGAGGGTTCCGTACAAACTCAATTTAATACCTCTACGCGTTCATGAGAACAGAGGTAGTAACTTTGAAATTTTCAAAAATATTTTTTATTATATGATGTAACTAAAAATTTACGGTTTTCGCAATTTTTCCTTTATCTGTACTAAAAGACCTTCGTACCAAATTTCAAGATTCTTAGTTCACGGGAAGTACCCAGTAGGTTTTGAATCCCGTGCGAGTTTCGAAGCGGAATTTTGCGGCATAAACGGCTGCATCTTTTGATTGCTTTGGCTTAGAAGTTAGATTTTGTCACAGCTCCAGTGGACAGTAGACATGAGTATTAGATATGAATTTCAGTATGATACATCCACGCGTTCCCGAGAAAAACGGTCTTGACAGACGGACGGACGGACGGACAACAAAGGGGATAAGGGTTCCGTTTTTTCCTTTTAAGGTACGAAACCCTAAAAATAATGTTTGTTGATGAGTTACGTCAAAGTTAGTGTTGTTTCTTTATTTGCGATGAAATTAGAACGTAAACGTATCTTATGCATGTCAATATAAATGCCATTATTATTTGAAGTCTCTCCTTATTACCACAAGAAAGTAAGACATGCGTTCAACACGAGATTCAGAAAAAATGTTAAACTAATTTTTCCTATACAAGGTTTAAAACACTGTTTACGAGTTTTACGAGTTAGAATGCCATAATATTTACTTAAAAGTTTTGCGTTCGCGAAATTACGACATGGTAATATCTAGCTACCAATGCAAGGACATTTCGTTACCTGTATGAGTGCCAGTTGCTCCATACTCTGCCTGCGTACGCGCAAAGCGTTGAACGGAGTCCTGGCCGCGGGGCTCGCGTCTACCGCGGGCGGCGGGGGTACTTCGCCCTCGGGTAGCCCTAGCACTTTCCGGAGGTCGCTAATGTTCATCTGGGCGGTCGCCATGCCTAGTACGTCACCCAACTGTCGAATAAATAACCCTCATGTTTAAATTATCACCAAAAAATACATTCTCCCACCTAACATTTCTTAACGCAAACCCATATTTACCAAAAACACTCAAAATACACCGGCCTGCAAAACTATGATCCTCATACATATTTTACAAAATTTAACTTTTTTCCTTTAGTTTAGTTTTATGTTCTTATTCTTTAATTGTCATTTTTAATATGTAAATTAAACAAATATTTAAGTGGGAAGTTTCACAAATCATAATAAGTAAGCAGTAGCAATCACACGCAGTCGTGCTCACATATAGAACAAGAACGAAAGCATACAAAGAGTTTAAATTCTACTCATAAAATCGACTAATATATTTGGTTGAGGAAAAAATTTCTTCGCATTTTACATGAAAATTCAAAACATTTTTATTAAAGTTCATTTACATTCAACTAAAGTTTGTAGGTGCCACTTTGTTCGACAACTTTTTGCCATGCCATCTTGTAGCTAGGGACATGATCCCATAGTTATAGAAATTTTTGGGCTTCTGATCAAAAGACCGCGACAAGTGGTTTTGGCAGTCCTCTCGTGATGTTAACCTGACACTGCCTAAAAATTCTGAAGAGAATACTGACCTCCTTGGATATGTTGTAGTGTTCGTTGGCGTAATACAGCGCCTTCTCGTGATTCCCGAGCGCGGCGTACGCGTTGCCTAGCAACCACCCGCGGCCGTGCTCAAAGTACTGACCTCCTTGGATATGTTGTAGCGTTCGTTCGTGTAGTACAGCGCCTTCTCGTGGTTTCTGAGCGCGGCGTGTGCGTTGCCTAGCAACCACCCGCAGCCGTGCTCAAAGTACTGACCTCCTTGGATATGTTGTAGTGTTGGTTGGAGTAGTACAGTTCCTTCTCGTGGTTCCCGAGCGCGGCGTGCGCGTTGCCTAGCAACCACCCGCGGCGGTGCTCAAAGTACTGACCTCCTTGGATATGTTGTAGTGTTCGTTGGAGTAGTACAGCGTCTTCTCGTGGTTACCAAGCGCGGCGTGCGCGTTGCCTAGCAACCACCCGCGGCCGTGCTCATAGTACTGACCTCCTTGGATATGTTGTAGTGTTCGTTGGCGTAATACAGCGCCTTCTTGTGGTTCCCGAGCGCGGAGTGCGCGTTGCCTAGCAACCACCCGCGGCCGTGCTCAAAGTACTGACCTCCTTGGATATGTTGTAGTGTTCGTTGGCGTAGTACAGCGCCTTCTCGTGGTTACCGAGCGCGGCGTGCGCGTTGCCTAGCAACCACCCGCGGCCGTGCTCAAAGTACTGACCTCTTTGGATATGTTGTAGTGTCGTTGGCGTAGTACAGCGCCTTCTCGTGGTTTCCGAGCGCGGCGTGCGCGTTGCCTAGCAACCAACCGCGGCGGTGCTCAAAGTACTGACCTCCTTGGATATGTTGTAGTGTTCGTTGGCGTAGTGCAGCGCCATCTCGTGGTTTCCGAGCGCGGCGTGCGCGTTGCCTAGCAATCACCCGCGGCCGTGCTCAAAGTACTGACCTCTTTGAATATGTTGTAGTGTTCGTTGGCGTAGTACAGCGCCTTCTCGTGGTTACCGAGCGCGGCGTGCGCGTTGCCTAGCAACCAACTGCGGCGGTGCTCAAAGTACTGACCTCCTTGGATATGTTGTAGTGTTCGTTGGCGTAGTGCAGCGCCATCTCGTGGTTTCCGAGCGCGGCGTGCGCGTTGCCTAGCAATCACCCGCGGCCGTGCTCAAAGTACTGACCTCTTTGAATATGTTGTAGTGTTCGTTGGCGTAGTACAGCGCCTTCTTGTGGTTCCCGAGCGCGGAGTGCGCGTTGCCTAGCAACCACCCGCGGCCGTGCTCATAGTACTGACCTCCTTGGATATGTTGTAGTGTTCGTTGGCGTAGTGCAGCGCCATCTCGTGGTTTCCGAGCGCGGCGTGCGCGTTGCCTAGCAACCAACCGCGGCGGTGCTCAAAGTACTGACCTCCTTGGATATGTTGTAGTGTTCGTTGGCGTAGTACAGCGCCTTCTCGTGGTTCCCGAGCGCGGCGTGCGCGTTGCCTAGCAACCACCCGCGGCCGTGCTCATAGTACTGACCTCCTTGGATATGTTGTAGTGTTCGTTGGCGTAGTACAGCGCCTTTTCGTGGTTTCCGAGCGCGGCGTGTGCGTTGCCTAGCGACCAGCACGCGCGGCCTTCGCCCACGCGGTCGTGGAGACGCCGCGCTGCCGCTAGATGTCGCGCGTGATACTCCTCTGCTACGCGGTACTCCCGTAACAGGGTGTAAGTGTTGCCGAGGGAGTAGCATGCTTGAGCTTCTACCGCGGCGTCCCCTAACTCTTCGGCTAGGGCAAGCGTGCGCCTATTGGACAACAGTCACCAATTTATTGTTTTCAACTTCCGTGGTTAATACTAATGCGCAATTCAAATTTGATGGCGTTTGTGAAGTAATAACAGTCAACAAGTTAGTGTTTTTAAACTTTCGCGGTCACTACTGTGTTATTAAAACTGAATGAAGTTAGCACCAGTTGCGGCGCAGTAAAAGCGAAGTAGTGGGATGTATGTGCAAGCGGAATTTCGCTGAGAGAAAACCTATAAATCTATACAATATTACATTCGCTGCTAACTTCACAACTGTCATTCAGTTCGAATCGCACTCTGAAATTTTAGTGATTGGCGATATTTATAGAAAAAAACAGAACAACAGCGCCCACCAAAGGTTACGTACAAATTTGTAGGTACGTAATATAAACGACATTTTTTTGGTCGTCCATCAAATGACCGACCACTGCGAAAGTTGCTTAACTTCAACGATCGCAGCCGAACGCGTTAAACACCTGCGCCATCGAGCTCCTCCTCTTTCCTTCTATGCTTTGCTGCAAGATATATATAGTAAACTACTATAGATGCACAAGTTGGTCCCTATTTATGATGAGTGAAAATAAAATACTTGACATTATCTTGGGTTATTATGCAAAAGCTCAATTTGTGAAAGGCAGTTCTGGAGTACAATGCACGTAGAATTTAAAAATCATCAGTCGATTCCTGTCTCCACTACTGACAAAGACTTGCCAATAGATCTAATCACACAGAGCGAACAGGCTATATTGACACATCAAGCATGCCTAGTGCTAACGACTGCAACGCAAGCAATCATAACTACGAATGATAATGCTCGAGGTGTTTTACTTTTTTTATTTAAACTCAGAGAAATTATGTACAATAATCTTCATATCAACCGTTCGAGTCTGTACCTGAATTCTATCTCCCAGAATATTCGATATGAGATAGAATGTTCTCATATATTTTTTTTAAATAATGACATTTACTTCTTAATACAACTGCCAGCCGTAGTCAGTACATAAGCAGAGTTTATACAAGCAAGGAGGCCGTAATGCTACGAGTGTATAACGACCTCCTTGGCCGAGTGGTTTGTACGCCGGGTTTCATGGTGTCGCCGACTCGTGATGAATACGAGCATTTTTACTCCAGTCATGGATGTTTAATATTTATTTCTATATAAATATACTTATATAAGTACATTATATGTATTCTATCCGTTACCCTAGTATCCCATAACACAAGCCTTATAGTGCTTAGCTTGGGGCTAGGCTAATTGGTGTGATTGTTGGAAATATTTATTTATTTATTTAGTGTCATAGTCCCCCATCCAATGACCAGTTATTCAGATGCTTAACTTCCTATTGCAGTCAGAACACACTAACCACCAAAACATCGAGCTCCTCTACACTAATGTGATGATTATAATACTATTATTTTGAAATAAAGTCAATATAAAGCTTTTAAATTTTTAAGCAAAAATAGCAACATTTTAATTTCGCAATAGCTCTGAAAACATTAGTCAACTTTTCATATAATATTCTATCGCCTTGTATAAAATGCGGGGAAAACGAAGCCTCAAAACAATTGCTCGTACATAAATACTTATCTCGTCAGCTAATGCCAATAAGTGTGTAATCATATAAATATTAGCCATTAAGCATGCTTCACAAAACTAATTATTATTAGACTCATTCAATTTGGTGGTTTGAAACCAACAAAAGAAGCAAGCAAAGAAATTTTTACTAGATTAATTAAAATAGAACAGACTTAAAAAAAACTGAAAATGAAAAAAAAAGATTTACCGACTGATATATTTGAAGTCGATACCGAGGCATGTGTTTAGCAAGGGGATCATGATAATGGTATCGACTTTAAATATATTACTGGGTAAATCAAATTTTTAACACATTTACTCAAAAAATGCATTTTAGGTTGTATACATTGTTCGAAAGTTCGAAATTACTGGCCATACAGTAAAAAAAATTACCGCACGCAATATACATTTATATACCAAAACCCCATCTCAATCAGATCAGTAGTTTTTGATATAATCGCGAACAAACATACATATAAATACTTTTTTGAAGTCTGTCAACTAAAATCAACTCAGCTCAGATATTTGGTTGGTTTTATATTAGTTTAGTTATAAAATTCTAACAGTTGATGTTTTGAATATTATAACAATTTTTAGTTTATATAACCGTGTCAACAGTTTTCGCATAAGATTCAAAAAATGTAACATAAACACAATTGCATAGTATGAAGTCATAGTTTCGCCTTATCAATAATGAGAATGGCGTCGACTCTGGCATGATTTTCTAAACTTAACAAAATTTAACGTCAGTCTGTCCTTTTCACTCTGTATAGAGAATGAGAAGGATACACTGTTGTCAAATTTAATTTTAGGTTTAAAGAATCTTGTCATAATTGACACCAATGTAAGCATTAAGCTAAGAAAAACTTTTTAGCAATGTTAGCATCGGCGTTTTGTAGAGCGAACGATTAAGATTTTATTAAAAAAATCGCAAAAGAAAAGCAAATCACTAGATAAAATACGACATGGACATACTCGCAGCCGCTCGCGACTTCATTCGCGCTAAATTATTTTATTGAAAATCTTACAGGAAACTTAAAAATTTCGGGGTCAAAGAGTATCCTATCTCTCAATACAGGTCACAAACTATATGCGTACCAAAATTTCATCCATATCCGTTCAGTAGCTTTTGTGTGTGTTGTGTAACAAACATACAAACTTTCACATTTAAATATTAGATTCACGAAAATTTGGACGATTATGGAGCATTTAAAGTCGTACGAGAAGTCAATATAATTGTGATTTCAGACAAATCTTTTTCTTTGCATGAGACAAAACGGTGACATAATAAAGCATAAAATTTTATTAAACTCGTTGAGAGCGCGTATTTATTTATTGTTCAGGTCGTGCACAATCTGATTATGAGTCGGTTTTTGGATGGACTATGCAATATGCATTGAATCAAATCAAATCAAATCATCTTTATTGCGAATACAGGTTGAAAAAGTTGTTACACAGATAAATTTTAGTACAGTACAGCCATATTCTGCCTTATCGGCATGCGATATATCTATAAAACATTAATAATTTCAATGTCACATTAATAAATTTAACATAGTTTATTCAAAATGTCAAAAAGCCAGTCAATAATTGACCAATCTGAGTTACACTTGGATCAGCTGTCAATAGCACTTATCAAGTACGTGGCAGATACACCTCATTTAATCTGAACGCCCAGCAGTTGCAAAGAATTGCGCATTTTTTACCCTTGCAGGGTTGACATAGTACAAAATCTGAAAGTTGGTAGTATTTTTTTTAAGGTAACTCCCATTGTTTCGACTGTGCAATAATGTGTTTTCTTTTCCTATTTGCGTCAAATATTATGTGGCCAGGCGCAACAATTTTTTTAATATCTGCGCCTGGTGGACGCCTACCTTTACATGTGTGAAATATCAATGTATCGTTAATGCCGAGAAATTATAAAGCAAAATGTAATTTTGCGAGCAGTATGAACTCGTTTCGCAAAGCTTAAATGCATGCGGCTGTACCAAATAAAATTTGTAAAAGTACAATTATTAACTTTTGTACATTGCAGAACAAATTGCAAAGCAAGTTATTAAAAGTGCTTAATATCCAGAATATAGTAAATTGCATACATATAATATAAAAATAAAATTCGCATACACAAAACATAATATATTGTTACTAACCTACACGATTATATCATAATACAGATGAAACAAAATTATTTCTTGTGTATGATTCAACACCCCACATTTAAAGCAACAAAAAAAAAAATAGAGAGTCATGAAAACTATCAAGATCACTTGCAACATCATTCAATTTGAAAATTATAATTCAACTAGCTGTGCCCCGTGGTGTAACCCGCGGTTTATTAGGGATAATTTCCCGCAGTTAAACATAGCCTATGTACCCAGGGTGTCATCTAACTCCATACCAAGTTTTACTAAAATCGCTCCATCAAACGGATGGAGCGATTTTAGTAAAATTTGGTTTGGACGTGAAGAAGTAACAAACATTATATACTCACACACTTACAAAGTTTCGCATTTATAATATTAGTGTGATAAGAAAATAATCTAAATAAAACTTGATTCTGGCGAAAAAAACAGTGTTGGAAACTGCATTAAAATCTGTGCATAGTCTAAATTATCAGAGCATACAGACTTGGGAGCGACTTTGTTTTATGCTATGTAAAGATAATGAGACGAGGAGCTCGATGACGCAGGCGGTTAGTTAGCGCATTCAATCTGTAATCGTGGAAGTTAAGCAACTTTCGCATTGGCCGGTCATTGGATGGGTGACCAAAAAATTATTAACTGGAGTTTTTCCTCCGTGCTTCGGAAGGCTCGTCCCGGATGCATCTGCAATCGTTGGCACCCACCAATTTACACTGGTGGGTCATGAACCCTTTTTACATTCCATCTATAGGAAAAGCTGGTACTCCAGTAGCGTGTATATTAATAGGCTGATAATGATGAAAGATAATAAGAAGAAAACATTTGTTATGTTCCGCAGCATTTTCAAACTGTCCGAGGAAACTGTGAGAATTGCCCAGCTTGCTATAGGGTATTTGACAGTATTTAAAATAAAGTGCCAATTATCTGTATTTGGAACGGATATTGGCAGAGGTATTAACTATTTTTACAGAAAAAATATTCATCATTTTACAAAAAAACCCACGAAAACGAATAAAGTTTTCTTATCTATTGTCACGTGCCAGAAAACGCAAGGGATTGGCGGAGCCTAAAATAACGTCACAAGCTAGTAAACTTCCGATTGAAGTGTCATCACATTTATCGTTAGACATTTTAATGACTGTCGTGTGACGTCAAGTACCAGTAAGACTCCACATTGTCCAGAGAAACGTTTTCGCGGCAACTTGGAAATGCGAGATTTTAATTAACTTTTTTTTTACTGAAATACACAACAGAATGATGAATATCCACTTTTTATGGATTATTAGCGCGTTCGGCAGCGATCGTTGAAGTTAAGCAATTGGATTTGGATTGGTCAGTCATTGGATGGGTGACCAAAAAATCTACTATCTCGAGCTTCTCAGTGCTCCGGAAGGCACGTCAAGCCGTTGGTCCCGGCTGCATCTGCAGTCGTTAGCATCCACCTAGCCGCACTGGGCCCGCGTGGTGAGTCATGATCCAATCTCCCTATTCCATCCAAAAGGAAGGCCTGTGCCCCAGCAGTGGGGACATTAATAGGCTGATGATGATGATGGACTCTATGAAAATTAGAAAATAACGTGAGATTGTTTTGTAAAACTTGTCAGAAACTCAGAGCGGAACTCTGTGTGGTAATTCATGCCCAGGATAAGTCGTCCGGCAAGAAGCCAGTGTTGCCTGAATGTGAAGACAAGGAGTAGGACCTACTTGTAATGTTCCGCAGCGTTTTCAAACTGTCCCAGGAAAATATGAGAGTTGCCAAGGTTACTATTGGCTCTTCTCTCCGCGGGGCGGTCTCCGAACTCCCTGGCTATTTCTAGGCGCTCAGTGTGGTAACGAATAGCGCGGGAGAAGTCTCCTAGCAAGTAGCAGGTATTGCCCAGGTTACCGCAAGCGCGACCCATCGCTTGACGGTCGTTGAGACTACGCATCAGCTCTAGGTTCTCTCTGAAACAAAAGATAACCTTTTTTTTACAAACAGTATATTTAGTAGTTAAGTATTTATTTTTAAGCATTTAACTGCTCGACACTGAATCCAAAGAAATTTTACTAGAAAAAATTCCACACCGACCAGGCATACATAGCCTTTATCAGTACAGGAATACAATGTCAAGCAAAAGATAATGAAATATTGACTGCCACTCACTCATAATACTCCACAGCTTGTAGCAAGCAATCCCGCACTTCTTGAGGGAAGTGGCCCGGGTCGTTTTGACCCACGCGGCCCAGCTGCTTCCCCTGCGCGTGATACACGTTGCCCAGGTTGTACAGAGCCCTCCCCTCGCTCAGCTTGTCGCCTAGAGCGCGCGAGATCTCCAAGTGACGCTTGCAACACTGTATTGCCTCCGTGAATTTCCCCATCACTTTCAGAGTGTTGCCCAAGTTGCCGGACGCTTTCGCCTCGCCCAACTTGTCATTCATTGTCCTGGGAAAGATTTTAATTTATAATGTAATTCCATTGTTTTTACGTTTATAATTAAAGGGGTAGCAAAGGTAAAGGGATATAATACAGTGATCAGTTAAGCTAACACAACGAAAAGTATGTTGTTATGTATCTCTAATTACAGAGATTTTTTAGATTATTTGAGATAGATCACCTTTTGGTTTTTCAGTGTCCAAAGTTTAAGTAAAAGAGCATTTCTCTAAAGAGATAAATAAATTGTAGATATTGGATGATGGTGATTAAAACGATTTATTTAATGACAAAGGGGAAAAGAAAAGAAAAAGTAATGTTGTTTCCATTTTTCTATCAAAACTAAATTAAAATGGAGGTGCACAGAAACCAACAGCTTCACTTGTTGGAATACATAAAAAGGAAATCTAGATATTGCAAGTACCCAAGCCATTGGTTATTTAAATATTGTTCCCTTAATAGATAAAAAAAAGTACCTAGCTAATGTGAGATCATGCTTGTGGTACTGCATAGCTTTGTTGTAGTCGCCAAGATAGAAGTACGCGTTGCCCAGTTGGCTGTAGATCGCGCTCAAGGTGCGCAGGTCGTCGGTGCCGGCTTGGATGGCCGCTTGGAAGAACGCGACGCCTGCGCGGCAGTCACCCGCCTTGCACAGCCGCTCGCCTTCCAACGCCAGCTCAAGGCACATGGAACCGCCATCGCAACTCTGTTGAAAACATACCCAGAATTGTGACGAAGGCATTCAGTAATGCAACAGTAAATAAGCGAACACAGAACTTAGGAATCTTTGAATGTGAAATTGTGGTTTGATTCAAATTACAAACCTTGGTCAAACAAAAAACTTTAAATTTTTTTTAAGCATGTAATTGCTAGATGTTTAAATCTAAAGAAATTTTTTCTAGAAAAAAATACACACGGACCAAAAGGAACTGTCCATGGTCCCCGTGGAATGTCTTTAAAATATTTTTTTACATTTTATATTTTTATATTAATAAACATCAAACATAGCATTATTATTAGTCTTATCATTTTTCTTGAAGTTGACTTTTTATTAAAAACAGGTGTGTTGATTTTAAGTAAAAGTAACTTTGTCACATAGATGTAGAATGAGAAATGTATAGCAGAATTATGCATTAAATTAAATGCATGGTTTTGCTATAAATTATACACATGAAAACATTCTGTCATACCAGTTTAAAATATTCTCTATTTCGCACATGCATGTAGAGAATCTAGTTTGGAATTGTAAAAGAATAATTAATATAAATCCATAAATTATGATACTCATTCTATAATTAGAGTTGCATAAAGACAGGTTTATTCATTTAAGCTAATTAACTTGTTTAAAACTAGTTATCGTGTATATTAGGTATCCACAAATATTAACTGGTAATAAATAATGTTTCAATAAGGTGTCTTGGCCCAAATAAGTAAATCTGACTATACCTAGTCAGGTCATAAATTCTGTCACATGTTCAATATAAAATAATTGAAACAAGTTTATTCATTATGTAACCATTTATATACCAAAATGAATTTAACAAAACATAGATTCTTATGACAATAAAGTTTATTCAAAATGACCTCCGTGATTTTGAATACAGGCCTTCAATCTGCGCGGTCAGTCCTCTATCGCAGCATGAACGAGGTCCATGACAATATCGGCGGCTGCCTTAATCAAGGATATCTTGAGTGACTCCAAATTGGGACGAGGCTTTGAGCACGCCTTTTCCTCCAAGTGTTGCCATATCTTGTAATCCAACGGACTCAAATCTGGACTGGAGGAGGGCCAGTCTTCGTGCCGGATGAAGTCGATTTCACGCACCGCCAGCCAGTCTTGTGTGCTCTTCGCTCTATGAGCTGGCATTTTAACACCATTTTCACAGTGGTTCTGCTTAACCCCATCTGAAGAGCCAACAGCTTCTGACGTTTGGGATTTCTTTGAATTCGCTCCTTCACAGCTTTTATCACTGCTGGAGTCCTAACAAACCGAGGGCGACCACTTCTTGACCTGTCATCTACACTAGAGTCTTCATTGTAGCGTTTGATGGTACGATAAACGAATCTTTTGGTTATATTAAAATTTTTCAGTATGTCAAAAATTTGAATTGGCGCGTAACCGCAACGATGCGACGCAATAACTCTTTAAGCGTCCACTCCATATTTAAAAATGAGTAAAATTCTAAAAAGTATACATTTTTATTTTCATGAACAATTCGAAATTCAAATTCAATAAACTTTTTTGTGGCCATCATTCTGAAAGTTTTTATTGTGTGACAATACTTATGACCTGACTGTGTATATTAATGAATTTATATATATAACTAGCGGACCCGACAGACGTTGTCCTGTCTACACGTCTTTAATTTGAAAATTTCAAACTTTTTTTAATAAGCTAAAACATTCTGGACCATTTTGATGAAAATTCTTATTCAAATGTTATGACAATATCTAACGATCCCCTTGAACACACACAAAAAATTTCATCAAAATCGGTCCAGTCGTTTAAGAGAAGTTCAGTGACATACACACTCACAGAAGAATTATATATATAAAGACTAGATGTCCCAGCGAAATTTATACCGCCCTAAAAAAATAGGGGTCGGTGGTAGAAAGGTGAAAATTTAGGGTTGTATGTATTTTTGTATGATGCATCATAAAAAAATAAAAAAAAAATATATTGAAATCTGAAAAAAAAAAATTTAGGGGTGGATTACCCTTAACATTTAGGGGGATGAAAAATAGATGTTGTCCCATTCTCAGACCTACCCAATATGCACACAAAATTTCATGAGAATCGGGAAAGCTGTTTCGGAGGAGTTTAACCACAAACACTGCGACACGAGAATTTTATTTATTAGATTATGGTAGTACCTTATCTTATTTTCTTAATTCATAGTAATTGAGTTACAACTCTTATTATATATTTCTAATAAAAATTGCAAATTATAGGAATGAATAAAACTTTAAGTTTGAAATGATGATTTCAATCTAAAACTAGCTTGAAATATTAGTCAGTACTTCAACTAATAGCTTATTATTTAAATAATTTATATTTCTGTTAGACAGGGAGCCATCAAATACTAAGAATTTGATAGATGCAATTTTTTTGTATAGAAAATAAGTCAAAACTGCTGAGACTGCATTTCATATAGCTGGCAAGCTGTTGGTAAATTTCTGGAAGGCAAATAAGGCGCCAGACTATATTTCCAAATGTGGAGTTCAGTGGAACTTTGGATATTATTATTATACTTGTATTTATTTAAATATAATAATGAACTAAAGTCTGGAATGATTTCCTAAGCCTAATGCTAAATTACATACTACACATAAAAATTAAAAGGAAAGTCCACTGAAGACTTTTTGAGCGCCTGCACATTGAGCCATTAGTTGCTTATATATAATATATATACTTACTAATTATTTGTTATCTTTTCCTTAGAATAGATTTACTATTTAATTCAATAAAATATTTTGCTATTAAACTAATCTGAAGGAAAACTATGAAATTAATTGAGTGTTGGCTGTTCGTCTCATATTCAAAGTATGTCAGATTATTACACACAGTGTGAAATGCTTTGTGTGTGGAGCTCTAAGATTAGTGGATTCTTTTTGTTAGATTTACTTTTATTTCAAGATGGTCCCATTAAATTTGTTAAAGATCTATTGAAGGCTTTCAGAGACAAATATTAAATGCGTTTGATCCACACTATTGTTTACTTTACGACGTGTGTTGTTGTGTTGTTTGACGACCTCCGTGGTCGAGTGGTTTGTACACCAGGTTTCATGGTGTTGCCTACTCGAGAGGTCTTGGGTTCGAATCCCGGTGGGGGCAGATGTTTGTGTGATGAATACGAGCATTTGTACTCCAGTCATGGATACTTAATATGTATTTCTATATAAATATACTTATATATGTACTGTATATGTATTCTGTCTGTTACCCTAGTATCCCATAACACAAGCCTTACAGTGCTTACTTTTGGGCTAGGCTAATATGTGTGAGTGTTGGAAATATTTATTTATTTACTGCTCGTCTCAGCTCCAGTTACAAATATTGTGAGGTTTAACTACAAATGTAATTACAAGTTCCACTAAAGGAAAATTATTAATTACAATTTACAACTTTGCTTTTACTAATATAAGATTTTAATCACTAAATACTACACATGTTTTTAAATTAGCAAATAAACTATTCTTATTGCAAAAAAATATTGATTTCTATATTTCCTTTTTATTATACTGTATTGAATTTGGCCTCCAAATGTTGGATGCTACTTTATCATTTGCGATTTGTAAAGGCTATTCGTTAGTATCCATATATATATAATGGTATCCTTTGGTGAGATGACCTAGGGTTATCATGGACATATGGACATAATTTAGGAACATTAAAGATATCACTCACCACTGTTCTACTTTGGAGACAATTATCATACATTATATTAAGCAGTTAAACTTTTGCTGGCGACGAACAAATTATGATTCCGATCAACGCACAACGACCGCGGACGGATGGAACAATAATAGGTCACCATTTCCGTATCAGAACCACCCTTCAAATTGATGCGTGATTCATCTTGCGAATGCGGAATGTCTCCAATGTGACGAGTGATTATAACGTTACAATAATACAAGTTTAATTTTGCACATAATCAGTAACAAACAATGAAAATTGGTTATGATTCAGACGAACTCACCTGTGCGTCAGTGGACAGATTCTCGGCACTGGCGCTCACGGACATTTTCTTGCACGATTGAATTCTTACTTATAAATAAAGTAACAAAAAATAGATACTAATGTGCACTTTCAGTTTGATTTCATAGTTAATGTTTTGTTATGTGTATTATTTGGGCGTGTACGACGAACCAAGCGTTGTTGTAAAAGTTCAACCACAGAATAATTTTCGCTCATTCATTGGAACTTCACAGCTGACAGTAAATCTACGTTCCAACCTACGCTCCATGTTCAACTTTTTACCCTGACGACGTTTCAATTTTAATAAAACTGTATGAAACAATGAAACTTGACCAACTAAGGACAGAATATATTTGTCACTTTAGGAACCATGGACCTATTACCTATTTAAAATAAATGTTTGGGTTCGGAACCTCTGAATAAGGAGTTCGGAACGGAGCTACTACCAACTAACTACCAATGCTACCAACCAATGAAAAATTGACAATAGAGTTAGGTGTCGATTCTGGCATGATTCTCTAAACCTAAACTTAAATTTGACTACAGTGTATCCTTGTCATTCTCTATACAGAATGACGAGGAGAGAATGAAGTTAATTTTAATTTTCAAGTTTAGAGAATCATGTCAGAATCGACACCAATATTTTTATTTCTCATATTTTAAGACAAAGAATATTCAGCTTATACAGCTTATTTTTCCACTAATTTTAACGGGAGAAAAGATGTAAGTATAAAAGCGCTGCCTTGCTTTCCTTTTAATAATTATTACGAACCTTTTTTTTTACGTGTATTTACCATGAGTTTTTAAATAAATTGTGTTAATAAACTATACAAACCTTTTACGTCATCAGCCGCTTTTCAAATATTTGCTCGTGGAACTCAAGGACCTGTATTGTGGTTTTGGACAAAGTTAAGGCTGAAATTTTTTTTGTTGGTTGGTTGGTTTTGGTTGAGACTCAGTAAATGGAGAAGGTCCTGAAATCAGTGACTGTACCTTTGCCAGTCTCAAGATGGAAAGAAATACTTCCGCTCGCTGACACTCAACCTTAACAGCCTGGAAGAACTCCTCCATGTTAGCGGTACCCGTCACGTCTGGCCTATTGATTAGAGTCAACTAATGGACACAATCTAGAGTACAGATCAGAAACCAGCGACTCTGAGACAACTCGACTCTTTGAACAACTAAGTCGTGATGCTCCGAGAACTGGTGTTTTTGAGGCACTTCAACGCCCATTACGATTTGTGGTTGGGCTCCTGCAAATCCAGGATCCCAGATATTGCGAGTCAAGCGCCTTCTTTGCTGGACCTTCCGCTTACGTCTCATCGGCAGAAGTATCGGGTTATGGTTCGAGCCCTACTAGGTTCATCAGATCTTTGCCACATATCTGCCAAGGTGCCACAAGCCAAACCTTCGCGACAATTGGTGGTCAAATGCAGGGTCTGTACCCTTTTAGTCAGTACATTGGGACGGAAGGTATTCGCGACTACTTGCGGAGGTGTCACCGTCCCTTGAAAACAGCGCTGCTTCCAGTGAAAATGACCTATCGGCGAGCACTGTTACTATTACTGAGGAGATCGTAATGCGAATGGAGTACTGTATTCCACATTCTGATCTCATCAGGAAGGCAAGTGAGTAAACAAAAAAGTGAAGTGCCCTAATAATCGTCCAATTTTTAAATTCCCAATCACTTGTGTTCATTTTCTTCATTTTGTTTTATTTTCTACATTATTTTGCAATCATTATGCCTGGTTCTCGCCGTCATATGGATCTGGAAACAGCATCAAGAGCGGTGGCTATGCTATGAATGAAGGACATTCACAGAAATCAGTGGCAATACGAGTTGGTGTGTCACGACGCGCTATCCGTAGCCTGTGGGAACACTACCAAGAGACTGGTGGTATTGCTAGGAGAGCGAGAATAGGAAAAACTCGATTTACCACCGACCAGGAAGACCGTTATATCCGATTGACTGCACGTCGAGAGCATACAATAAATAACCACTCGGACCTTACGAAATCGTTTACGCCAATCTACCGGCACGCCAGTAAGTGATCAATCCTTTCGGAATAGACTTCATGAGGATGGCCAACGATCCAGAATGCGACTACTCCGGCTCAAGTTGACAAATTCTATCCAAAATGCGAGTAATCCGGCACAATTTGAAATAATTTGAGATTTTATGAAAAAATTTGCTCGCGAACATTTAAATTGGACCATGTACAACTGGAGGACAATACTGTTTACAGACGAATCTAAAGTGAAGTTTTTAAGGGACGATCGTCGAAGCCTGCATTAGCGGAACAGATCGTTTCGGGGGTGTAAGTGTAATGGTGTGGGGTGGAATTAGTTTAATGGGAAAAATTGATCTGGTATTTTTGGAAAAAGGCACCATAACTGCTGCTTGTTACATCGAGCGTGTTATCCAACCTCATGTCATCCCATTAAGGCAAAGAATCGGTGAAAACTTCGTCTTCATGCAAGATAATGCCCGCGAGCATACGACTCGTATCACTCCCGACCTCAATCCTATCAAACATTTATGGGATCATTTAAATAGAAGTCTTAAATCAAATTTCAGTCATGTGAACAAGCCGACAAGACCTCATAAACGCCCTTAAAGTCTGTTGGGAGCAAATACCGATTGAAAACGTTATCCATTTAATCGAAAGCATTCCAGATAACCTAAGAGAGTGCATACGGACTAAAGGAGATCCTATTCGCTCCTAAAAGAGACAATTTTCATAAATTTATGTGCAAATATTGATAATATTCTAAAATTTCTTTGTTAATTTGTGTTAATTTTCTTAAAAACTGTTATTACTGTGTAATTCACATAAAACTCTTAATTTTTACTGTTGTGTATGTTTAAACAATTTTTTAACGCCAATTTTAAACACCTCTTTTTAAAAAAATATACTTAAGTTAACGGAAAAATAAAATATAGCTGAAAAGCGGGGTGGTGCCCTATTTTGTTTTGAGTATTTTATTTATGTAGATAGAATAAGTACTGTTATTTTATGATAATGATGAAGCGATAAAATAAAGTAAAATATAGAACGCAGCTGAATATAATTATTCTCTTTTAGAAAATACCCTAAGCTTCTATGCGTTAGGAAAGTTGAGTTTAGACGTGGTTTAGACTGACATGAATGTGGCTGGAGGAGCAGCAGGTATTCCCAAAAATTCAAATTCAAAAAATTTCAGACCGGAGTCAATTTACTAACATCAACTGAGGCGTAAAATTATTTCTCCCATTCCTGAAGTTTGAAATTAACTAGCCGTTACTCTCTTTTTTTTATTGCGCAGTAAATTATTACTGCACAATAAATGCTCTTTATTAATTTTCCATTTCAATAAACAGACAGTAACGGCTAGTTAATTTCAAACTTCAGGAATAGATAAGCCCATTAGGGTTTTCTTGCTTAGATATATTTATAGTTTAGATAACAATAAAAAACTGTGGCTAAGACGCAGAAACAGGTTTTATCGTTTTCTTTTACTGGCGATTGATTTATTAATTGAAACTGGCTGTAAATCAAAATTTATCATCACCTACTGCTGGTATTGAAATATACACATAGCGTTGGCCGGAGGGCGGGTACGAATCGGGCGGGCGGTTCGAGGCGGGGCGGGCGGCACTCGTTAACTATGCAAATATCGGGGAGGCTAGCCCGCTGCCGGCGATCGATCGCTCCTCCGCTGCAAACCTCTATCATTGGGATATGGGCCTTTAATAACCGGAATACCTGTGTTGATTATACTTTTATTCCAAAAAACGTTGGGACTTGTACTGTATCGGCATATGTACCTGTGTTGATTATACTTTTATTGCAAAAAACGTTGGTCTTGTACTGTATCGGAATATGTACCTGTGCTGATTATACTTTTATTCCAAAAAACGTTGGACTTGTACTGTATCGGCATATGTACCTGTGTTGATTATACTTTTATTCCAAAAAACGTTGGACTTGGACTGTATCGGAATATGTACCTGTGTTGATTATACTTTTATTCCAAAAAACGTTGGACTTGTACTGTATCGGAATATGTACCTACCTGTGTTAAATAAAACTAGTTTTTTACGGGTTAATGCACGAAACTTTATTTATTTACTGACGTTTCGCAGCCTTTACAGGCCTATTACACCAGTCAACACGAATTTAAAGTCTGAGTTCTTTGTGCCAGATTTTGATTTCTAATACCTAATTAAAGTAATAAACAATATTTTAATTTAAAAAAGTTTGCTTATGTGACTATCACAATGCAATTCTTAATTTCATAGAAAATTGCTAACCTTTTTCTTTGAGTTGTTTAAAACAAGAAAAAAAAACATTTATATAATTATTGAAATCACTTTTATTTACTAAATACAATTAAACCAAGTCTATGAATGCAAAAAAGATATTGGTTTAGTTAAAACAATATATATTTTTAGTAATTCCTATAATTTTTACTCAGAAAATGCAGGGAAAAATGTCTTCAGAATTTTGATATAGAGCTTAATAAATTTTTTCAATAAACCAATTTTTATGCGATGGAGACATTAAAATAAGCATAGGGTCTATAACGAATATAAATATATCATACTTAATGTTATATTCCGTTTTTTTACACTACAAAAATAACATGGAAATTTTGTATAACCTCATGTGACCATATTTTGCCCTGACTCCGAAAAGGAAGTTAAAATTAAGCTTCATATGTTTAATAAAGTCTTTAACTACTACAATTATAGGGTATTTGACAGTATTAAAAATAAAGTGCTAATTGTTAGCATCTGTGTTTAAAATGAATATTGGCAGGGGTTTTTACTATTTTTACAAAAAAGATATTCATAATTTTACTAAAAACCCACGAAAAAGATAATAGTTTTATTATCTATTGTCACGTGACCCAAAAAAAGAAAAATGACCAAAAAATGACCCAAGAAAAATGTACAGTAAGTAAGTAATTTCAAAAAAATTGTAGTTATGTTAGAATTGATTGAAAAAAAAAGATTATTAATGTATTTAGAAAAAATATGTAGATAATTGAACATGTATAGAC